GAACGAAGCATACAAACATCGCGTCTCTCGGTACTACGACTCAAGGGTCAGAACCCGTTCCTTCAGAATCGGAGACTGGGTTATGCGCAAGGTTTCGCTTGCAACCAAAAACCCAATGGAAGGAACCCTCGGACCCTCCTGGGAAGGACCCTATGAAGTCATCGGCATCCTTAGATCCGGCACTTACAGGCTCCGAGGCACAGATGGAAAGACCCTCGGTCACCCATGGAATGTGGAGCATCTCAAGAGTTATTTTAAATAAAGCCCCCCTAGCCAACGGCAGGGAGGAACTTGTATTTTTTGCATACGGCACTTATATATAAAACGAGATGATCCAGAGTTGCACATGTTCGGAACGTTATAGCCTGTCAATATTTTTCCAAAATAAAATATTTCAGTAGGGCTCATTAACGTGAGCCACGGCAACGTTGCCTATGGCAATTGATAGCTGTGCTCTTACATGTCTACTACCGATTCCAATTTAGCTTTATCAATTTTTGTTTAAAGTTGAACGACGATATGCAGTGGGTACGAGCCAACGGCAGTACAGTGCTCTGGAATTACCTACGGTATTCTCATCATGCACAGACTACTTAAACTCTCTGAGCCAACGGCAGTACCGCACTACCTTCGATTTTGTCTACCGAAGGTAATACCACTTGGCTACTCAAGAAACTTGGCTGTAAGCCATCGTAAGCAACTATCCTACGCAATTATTAGCCTACGGCAATAAGAATGCACAAGTAATAAAACAAGATACTACTTAAATTAAAAATGCCCTCGGCATTAAGATGTTCAGAAATTTTGCCAACGGCAATTGAAAATACAAGACAAATTACAAAAGTGTAAACTCAGGCTTCGGCAGATTGGCCACCCTCGACTCCAGCAGCCTCGGCATTGGCACCAGTGGCAGAAGCAGGACCCTCTTCGACATCCGGACCATCTTCAGGGGCGTCCTCCCTCTCATACTCCTCGATCATTTTCTCTGTAATGCCTTCCGGTAGAGGAGGGGGATCGGCAGCAAAGTTCAAGTTCAGCTTCTGCCCGGGGTTGAACCGTTTGAAGCGATAAATAAGGTCCGCCATCTCGGAAGTCACCTTATTGTCCAGGAGAGAGGTGAACTCAGCGGAGGAACGGTAGCTCTTAATCGCTTCACTAACGGCAGCCTCAACCCCCTTGGCTGCCTCGGCATCCTTGGCCGCCTGCTCTGCCTCATCCAGAGCCTCGCGCATCTCGGCAAGTTTTACCTCGTGCGCCTTGATCTGCCGTTCGGCAGCGTGCATGTCCTGCACGAGATTCGCGTGGTCTTGGAGGGCTTTCCCCGCCTCGGCAACCTTGGAACGGCCTTCTACGTACAGCCGTTTGGCGCGCTCGGCAGTAGTGATGGCTCTTTTCATGCACAGCCACATGTCCATCGACGCCTGAAAGGTGAAGCCACAGATTAGTACCGAGCCAAAAACGCCAACAGCAAACAACAACAAAAAGAGAACGAGATGGAAAAGTTACCGTGGCCTGGAGACGGAAGGCGCGCCCCGCCTCTTCCCGAAGGGCTTTCTTCGGCAGTTCATCTATTTCAGATAGGTCCATCTGCGAACCCACAATCATATGGTTCGCAAATTGGACCGTCTTCGAAGGACACGCAAGTGTGACTGCCTCGGTAGGCCCCTCTTCGTCCTCGGCGGCAAAGATGGCCCTCGGGTGGTCAGCAAGCCGCACTCTTTTGGGAGTAGAAGCGGCATCTAGGTTTACCGTCAGCGGCCGCTTCCCGGACGCCTTAGACGAAGTGGCATCGGCACCCTGGCTCGGGGTGAGTACCGGCTCGTCAACCGGCACCTTTCTGTTGATAGGCTCCGCATCGCGCTGTCTCTGCAGTTCGGCAAGGGGCTGCTCCTCGAGGTCCGCCTGTGCGACCTTCTCGGTAGAAGCCTCTGGCTGCCGCCGTTGCTTTTTCCCCTTGGCGACCACCTGGTAGCGCCGCTTTGAGGTCTCAGACATCCTTTTTGCCTCGGCAGTCTTCCTGGTCTCGGACACTACACGAAACCAAACCCAGGAGTTAGCCGAAGGGATTCAAACAAAAAGACGAAGTGGAAAATAAGAAGCGATCTTACTCTCGGCAGGGTCAACGAGGCGGGCTCTGATAAGGTTTTCGGTGAAGAGGAACTGTGGGTACTCCCTATCAACGGAGGGAACCTTCAGCCTCACTTTTTCTATCTGCCGAATCTCTGATTGGGGTGCCGTGGGCTGCTTCAGTTTGCCTGCAAAAATAACAAAAACAGATTAGTCCATTGAAAAAAAAAAAAAGTGACCTACCGATCGGCATGGTAGCAACCTACCGGCAATCTGAAAAGTAGTGGGGATATGGAAGCGAACGGGCACTCCCGAGGGCGACTCCCAATCGCCAGAGAGTAGCACCAGCCGATTCCTCCAAGACTTCTGAGAAGTCGGCACGGCCGTCAGAAAATGGCCCCTCTCGGAAGTCCTGAGGCAGTTCGCCTGAACCCAACCTCCATGATCGGTACTCTTGGACTTGGTGATGCTATACAGGTGGGAGAACTACTCGTAAGTAGGCTCCCCCTCATCGGCAAGTCCGAATGTCGTGATAACCCCCATCAGAACGGCCCAGAAGTTCGGATTGAACTGCCCAGGGGCATACCCAATCTGAGCCAGAATCCTTTGAACTGGAGGCTGCAACGGCAGCCTGACGCCCTCCTGAAGGACATCGGTGAAGAACGCAACCTTGCCATCCTTGGGGTTGCTCAGGGACTCGGTAGGGCCTGGGATCCTCATCCCTACCGAATGGGGGATCATGTATTCTGCCCTGATCTTTACCAGCTCACGGTAGGTCATCTTGTTGGGCGGCAAGTAATCCACATCAAACAGCTGTTCCTTCGCTACCCCCATCGGTACCCTAGGGTTCCCACTGTTCACTATTGTCACCCTCGGCCTGGGAATTGGCTTGGAAGACTCTCCACGACCGGAAGTGGAGGCCTCCGGACGATAACTGGAAGATGCCTCCGGCACCCGAGCGTCCACCACCTGAGGCTCGGAATGCAGGCCCGACCCAACTTGCCGACCGTCACTATATACGACCGTCAACGATAGGGGCTGACTAGTCATAAGCCACTTACCGATCCCATGGGTGGGCGCAGGTCTAAACCTCTCGCCGACCACTTCCACCTCGGAGCCACTATCGCTCTCGGTATCCTGACCCGACTCCTCACTCTCGGTACCATTTTGCCTGTCGGGAGACTCTCCATCGTAAGCATTGGGCTCGCTCTCGAACCCAGACTCGCTATCAGACATCTACAAGAAGCAACGAAAGGAAACTAACGGACATTCCGAAGACTATCCTACCGATGCCCACGTCTCTACCTATGGCAACTAGACTCCCGAACCACACCCCACTTGCATAAAGTTCTAAGTCTAGTTCAAACCAAGGAAGGACGTACGCATAACGAAGGGAAAAGGAAAAAGTTACTGAACGGTACCTTGTATGAACCGAGGTGCAAAGACCAAGATCGTCTGGCCACCGTTCGCCTGGAGTGGAAATCGCCTTGCCTCCCGAATGAACTCGCCTGAAATCGCCTCTGTTACCGTTTACTCTCGTTGGAAATCGCCTGGACAGAGCTCTCGCCTCACTCACAAATGCAAAGTGAATGTCGCCTCAGAGACCTCTTCTATTTATAGGGCGAAAGTTGCAACGGTACGCCTCGAGAAACCAAACGGCGCATTAATTGCGCCGCTCCACTTGATTTGACACGCCATGTGTCACACAAAGAATGGAGGCTCTGACAGCACGCGGGGTTCAGAAGACGAAGCGTCGCTCTGTCCCATCGATCCCCTTCCCTGTGCGTAGAACGCAAGGAGACGACCAAAATTGCCAAAGTCAATAAGCAATCGGCAATACCTTCTCGGAATCTCTTAAACGCACCAAGCGCTGCCGAACGGTAACCCTCAAAGTGGCGACTCTTGGGCTCCTAGGCGGAGATTGCCGAATGAGCCGACCTAGAGACAAGGAACGAGTGCCTCCTCTAGCCAAACTACCGAACGGTGGGGCGATCATGGACCTACTGAAGAAGAAGTCAAGTCCCCATCCGAGAACTCTCGACTGAGAACTTGGGGGACTCCTGTTTACACCCAAAATGAACATCCAATGAGAACAAGACATGTGGAAGAAATCGCGCCTGGTCAGAGATGCCTTCGGCATCCTACCTTCCGATCGCTCCATTAGGGCAACGCCCTCTCCTGGGACACGTGGCATGCTCCCAAGCGACGTCCACAGTCCCACATCGAAATTATCAACAAAGTGCACACCTCCCAATGCCTATAAAAGAGGCCAAACACCCCAAAATAGAGGTAATTAGAACTTACGGCATGCAAGCCTATTGATCTGTCAGTTGAACTTTCTAATCCCGAACTTACTTAAGCATCGGAGAGCCTTCGGCTGGTACCACACCGGTGCCTTGGGCCTTACCGAGCGTTTGCTCATATTGCAGATCACGCTCCCTACCGAGGCATTGAGGATACCGAAGGTATAAAATTACTAAGTTGACCCTCTAAGTCAGAGAACCACTTTTTGGCGTCAACAATACCCATGTCAACTATTGATATGGATTTTGACTGCAGCAATTACCTTTTTGTTTCAAGGGTGTTGTTGTCCTCTTATTTTTGGTGAAGCCTATGACCCCAACTGCTTTTGGCTTGGCTTTATAATAGTAGAGATAGATAAAAATAGGACAGAAGCACCCAACTCAAACAAAACAAAACAAAAAAAAAAAAAGAGATTTGCATCTCCACTTTAACCATTTTTTCTTCTTTTTTTTTAATAATTTTTTTTTTTTATACAAGCCATAATCTAAATTACTTTAAATTACTTTCTAAACTCTCATGTATGAGATTATTTTTATTTTTTAAGTATGTTAGTAGATAGATTATGATGAGGAATAGCATTTGTATGAGGAATTATCTAGTCACTCCAAAATGTCCCAAAAACCAGGTAATTAAAGAAAATCATCTCCATATGCTATATATTCATCAAAATGTTTGGCAGATAGCACTCCAATCTGAAGAAAAGGTATATTTCATTTAAAACTTTATAAATCTCTTCTAATTGAGGATGTGATTTATCAGCAGCCAAAAATTCATGAAACTCACCCTCCACCTCTATCAAGCTATGCCCAGGATTCTTCCTCACACCCCTCTCTTTCATCAAGCTTCTAACAATCCTTACATCATCCCATCTTTTCTTATTAGCATATAAATTTGCCAGCAGTACATAAATACCACTGTCTTCTGGATCCAACTCTAACAGCTTCTCAGCTGAAAGCTTAGCCAGCTCTACATTCCCATGAATCTTACATGCATTAAGAAGGGCACCCCAAGCAGACACTCCTGCTTCCATTGGCATTTTGTTTATCAGCTGATAAGCTTCTTCTAGCCGCCCAACCCGTCCAAGCAAATCTATCATGCATGCATAATGTTCCTCTTTGGGCTCTACATCATAATCTCTAGCCATGCTTTCGAAATGCTCTCTGCCTTGAGAAACTAATCCGCCATGGCCGCAGGCAGACAACACCGCCACAAATGTGATACCATCAGGCTTCAATCCCATAGTTTTCATTTGGTTGAAAAGAGCGAGCGCTTGCTTAGCATGGCCTGCATATCCGGCAATCAAGGTATTCCAAGAAACCAAATTTCTCTCTGGCATTTCACCGAAGAGTTCTGTTGCTGAATTTATGCTCCCACACTTGGCATACATGTCCATCAACGCATTCCCCAAAATTGTACTGGGTTGAATACGCCTTCTATTGACATAGTGCCGGTGAATCCACTGACCCAAATCCAGGCAACCCAACTGACCACAAGCAGAGAGCACACACACTAAACTGTTCTCCGTCAGAACCAAACCTGTCTCCACCATCTCATGAAACAATTTCAACGCTTCACTTGGTCGATTATTCTGAGTATAACCCGCAATCATGGCATTCCAAGAAACTACATTTCTTTCAGGCATGTCATTGAAAAACTTTCTTGCAGAGTTTAAGTCCCCCAATTTAGCATAACCATTAACCATACTAGTCCATGAAAACACATCCCTGACTTTCATGTTGTCAAAAGTCTCTTTAGCCGCTGTCAAGCAACCACATTTCACATACATATCCAACAAAGCATTAAGCAAATTTAAGCTACACTTCACATTCTTCTTTTGTACATATTCATGAATGGTCTTCCCCACACCAACATTTCCCTTATCGGAACAAGCAGAAAGCACCGCAATTATAGTAACCTCATTTGGCTCGACATCACTCACCAACATTGAGCCAAACAATTTCATAGCCTCATCTGAACAAGTACGAGTCGCATACCCATCAATCATCGTGGTCCAAGTCACAACATCTCTAACAAAACTTTCATCAAAAACCTTGCGTGCAAGACTTAGGAACCCGCCTTCAGCATAGTAATGCACCAACCCATTTCGTACCAGCAAATCAGAATCAAAACCCATCTTCCAAATCAGGCAATGAACCGAATGCCCCTCCAGGATTCTCGTAAACTGCTCGCACGCCTTGAGTGCGAAAATAAAACTTCTGCTGTCCATTTCGACGCGTTGACGGACCATTTGGCCAAAGAATGAAAACCCAATTGTTGGAATTTGAACTTTACAGTAGCCTCTGATCATCGTGTTCCACATATAAGTATTGGGTTTTTCAATTTGCGTAAAAAGAAGATGCGCATATTGAATGTCACTGCCATCGGCAAGAGCACAGAAGGCTAAAATCCTGCTGAGTGGAAATGTGTGCGTGATGAGGCCAGTGCAAGTCATTTGCGCTTGAATTTGCTTCAACTCGAGCATGGTGGTGCAAGACTCCATGATTAGCAGAGTTGGGTTGGTGATTATTACGTTGGTCTTGGAGTTCCATATGGCTTTGGTGGTGGATGTTGATGAGAATGGTTTCAGAGATTGGAGGAGGACTTGGAACCGGGACTTCATAAAAGGGTGGGTATGGGCTCACTGACTTTTGTATGGGACCAAAGAGTCCACTAGTAGGTGGTTCAGCTAGATCTGGAATGGAAGAAACATGACTTTGCTCATAGACTGTCTGCAATGCCACTGCTTCTTCAAAACTTGATAGCCAGACACTGACAGCACAGAGAACCTGCAACCACATATAAACCTATCTTCAGCGAGTAGCAAGGACATATAATACTTCTTACTCTAAAGAATGTAATGCAACTATAATACACAACAAACATGTATCTAAAACTGAGACACATGCAGTTCAGTCATATGTGTGTATGAGAAAGAGAGAGAGCAAAGTTTTCAGTCAAATGAGACTGCATCCATTTTCTTATTCATATGTTTGTCTTATATATATATATATATATATAAACATAAGAGCAACTGATTCGTCCCAAGGGAGAATACTGCACAAGCCAACCATAACCAGCAGTATATCATTGTGTTATTCCAGTCAAACTTGTTCATTCATGGCCATTCATCTGACTATGGCTCCAAACATGTGTAAAAGCATCTCCATCACTTATTCTTTAACTAATAAACAAACAAAACTCATTGTGCCTTTTGTGTTCATATAGTCAAAACAACA